GACATATTTGAGTCTTTCAATGAATAAACCTGAGATAGTATCTTTAGCTATTCTAACACTGGCCAGTTACTCCATTAAAATCTTTCTGATTTGCCATAACTTTGTCTGATGACTAAGTTTCTAATTTCTGCACTCTTCCTTGAATCTGTTGTCTTTCAGATTTTCTTTATTTCTAAGTATGTTTGTGTATAGAGTTTCTTCCTCATTAGTTAAAATATTCAGATTAAAAAATCTATAAAATGGCTTTTGAAATGAGCTTTTCATAAAACCACAATTCAGCAGTCCTAATTTTATGCTTCAAAATTTATATACAAATAATATTTTAATTACTAAGTCTAAATGATAACATGCTGAAGACCTGAGGTGGATATTCCTAGCACCTGTTTACATTGAGAATGCTAACACTGACTCAATTCCTTTATTAGTTCATAGGTCCAGATCATTTCTATACTTTGAATTCATATAACATTGAAGATATTTAACTGTATTTAATTTGGTGATTTCTCTTATGAGATAGGCTTCATGGGCTTAGAAAACAATAGCCTGTTTTTAAAAGCTAGTTTACAGTCTTCATGCTTTGTGGATAGTATGCTTTCCAGAGTCTAACCGAGTGCCAGGCAGTTTTGGTGTCCCAGCTATAATCTCAGCATTCAGAAAGCAGAAACAGGAATTCCCTGCAGGATTATGACTAGCTGTGGTAGTCTGTATTGGTCATCTGTGGATCCAGTTCAGATACAACCTCAATAAATAAAGTGGAGAGTGATCAAGGCAGATCCCCTATATCAACCTTAGACCTCAATAGGTATGTGCACAAGCATATATGCTCACACACATGTGAACATCACATACATATACATACTCATGCATACCACACTCACATTGAAATTGAGCTTACTATTAAGTTTTAATTACTAACATAAATGAAAAGAAGTCTTATATGGATAACAATAATTTATAAATGAAATATCATTATTTTGTGAAATTTATATCCCCTTGCTTATATGAGCTATAAAAATACAGATAATGCATATGAGTTTTGGTTTTATTTCTAGTGTTGCTATTAGGAAATATCAACAAGGATAAGCTTCAGTTGGAGGGTATCATACATATTAAAAATGGCCATCTGGAAGTGACAGAATTGTGAGTCATTTAAGAAAAGAGCAAGAACAGATGATACTGATCGATTAAGTAAAGAGAACAAACGAGTTGGAAATCAATACAGAATGAATATTGGCTTGTTGTCCTAATTTCTAAATCTGTGTGTGAATTTCAGATGTGTTCATGTAAGGAGATATGGAGGAAGACTTTGAAATAAGAGACTTTAGGAAAGGGTGTTGTCATGTAAGAAGAAATGTTTGCATTTGTTGCTCTTGGCATAGATTGAGAGCAGAGGATTTTTAAGAACATTTAAGAATATGCAAAATAGGACCATATAGGTTGGATAATTTAGTAAACGAAATAATGGGAACTGGGGCTACGTAACACCAGAGACAGATTTCTCAACTAATTAGCCTTTCTTAAATTATTCTATCACCAAATATTTATCTAAAACATGTACTGTGTGAGATAAAAAGGTAAATAAATAAAGCAGCTCCAAAGCCTTATGGAATGTGAAATACTTAAGCGCTAACACACATATGTAAAAACTACAATGCAGAGTAAAGAATCAGAACTGATTTGGAGGAGGAAAAAATGCTAAAAAGAGGTCTGTATGGTGAACCATTTTGCCTGGCATAGTAAGAGAAACATTCCTGGCCAAGACAGACTTAATCTTGGTTTTATACAGTAAGGAGAACAATATGATTGATCAAAGAGGAAGTTGGTTCACAAAGGCAGAACATTGTGACAAAAGGGGAAGTTGTGTTCATGAAGGAAGAATGGTGTGTCCAAAGAGGAAGCTGTATGACTGAAGGGGAATCACAGAGCACATAGAGCACAGAGCACAAGCAAAAGAAAATTCTATTGATTGCCACATGACATTGATTTAGGTTGATTTTCAGGCAGAAGAGAGACCAATGATATTTGGATAGAACGGGTCCAAATTATGGATTCACATCATAATTTGGTAACAATTTGTCGATGTAACCAACCATCTTATTAAATAAGAAACACAGAACCAATGTAAATGAGAAAGCCGAGAGGTTAGAGCTCACAGCTAAAATCTTACCCTTTCTCCTGCGTGCTCCTAGCTTCCCGAAAGAGACCTATTTCTTGTGTGTATGTCTTTAAATAATCTTTCTGTTCTGCCTTCTCATTGGTTGTAAACCCAAACACATGACTGCCTCATCACTGCCTGTAAGTACAGCCCTCTAGGTCTTAAAGGCGTATGTCTCCAATGCTGGCTGTATCTCTGAACACACAGAGATCTATGGGATCTAAGCTATTACTTATATATTTTATTGTGTATGTATGTATGGGATTATGACATGAAAACAAACTGTTTCTTGCTGTGTATTTTGGAAGCTAGAGAAACCCCACCTTCATGATCACCCCACACACAGTGAGCTCAATGAACTTCTCTCTGCTTGAAGTGCAAGTTGGTGCTGTATGACATACTATAGTTTAGGCAAGAGCACTAGAAAAAAAAAGTTTTTAAAGATATTTTTATTCTTTGAAAGTTTTGTATGTTTCGATAATGCATACTGATGATTATACCCATCCACCACTATCTCCCTCTAACTCCTCCTATTCAATTCCCTTCCCAACCTTATGTCCTCTGGGGAGGGGTTGGGGAAGGTCCTCCACCTGCTGCAGGGCTTGAGGGGTGAGGGGAGGAAGGCATCCTTCTCTCACTCTTGCCTCCAAATGGCAGGCCAGAGGGCCATGACCAGCTCTCCCATTCTCACTCCCTCAGGGCCAGCTCGCCCATGCCCCTGCCAACAGGGTCAGCTCTTTTGTGCTGCCCAGGTGAGGTGCAGGACCCTCTCTCCTGAGTGCTTTAGCCCTTGAGGGGCAGGACCAGCTCTCCCTAGTGTTGCACCTAGCAAGGGGGTGGGGCCAACTCTACACAGCCCTATCTTCTGAGCCTTTGGTGGTTCAGGAGCCTCAGCCATCAGCACAGACAAGGACCGCATCAGGGCCATGAACCTAGACATGGGCCTCGGCAGCATCCCAGGCACAAGTATCACCATGGCCCTGGGTGACAACGAAGCCACCCACTTCAGGCCACTCCTCACCACTTTCAGCTCTCCAGATATGCCGCTATCCACAGAAAATGAACCCCCCTCTCCCTTCTACTCTTCCCTCTCCTCCCTCCCCGCCCTCCCCTCCTCGTCCTGCTAAGTCCAGTCTTGGTGCTGGGCAGGACCATATGTCCTCCTCAGAGCCTGGGTTGGTGCCTGCTGGCCTGCATGTGAGTCTCCTTGTCCCGCCCAATCCGTCATCAAGAGTACAATTCTTTTGTTAGATTTTGTTGTTGTTTGAGACAAAGCTTCCTGAGTAGCTAAGAATGACCTTAGATTCCTTATTTTAACGAATGTAACTTAACAACAGTTGAAAAGACTCACACTACCGCAGGAACACAGACTCCATGATATTGTCTATGGAATGCTCTGATCACCAACTTTATTAGATTTAAAATGATAAAACAGTATTTTTTCCCATACAGCCCCAAATGAAATGCTGCAGAAGACAGTTTAGAGCACATCATTTACAACTAACTCTACAACCACTTTCTGAATCTTAGCATTAGAAGCAAAATCATAACTCACCATTATAATACAGAAAATTTATGTGGACATGGGTATTTTTATATATATGAAGTAGCGACTTTACTTTGAATTGACATCATTGACAGCCAGCTGCCTGAGAGAATTATTTAAAATGATTACAGTAAGTTTCCTAGTTCAAAACAATAACACTTAGTGAAAAATATAATGGGTCTCATTGGATACAACAGCCCAAACTTTTTAAGGAAAGGGAACATGTGAATTTGACAGTTAAAGATGCAAATTGCAAGTATTTTTGTCAAGCTGTTTATATATCTTGGCTTGCAAATCCAGATATCTCACAAACCAAGAAATATTCCAACAAAGCCTTATTTAATTTTATTATGGGCGCTGAGGCCTTACTCTCTGGATGCCTGCATGGGTTTTTGTTTGTTTGCTTGCTTGTTTGTTTTAGAGAGGAGACATATATCTGGAATATTCCAAGCATGAGCCTTAGGAGGAACTTGGTGGTAGAAATAAAGACAACAAAAATTTCTGTTCCCTGAAGAAACAAATGGTTTTTTGTTTTTCTCCATGTTAAATTCTCAGTTGTGTTCCGGCATTTGACCTAAGACAATACTGGGCAAAATCTCCCCCTGGTGACCAAAATATGTAAATGCACATTCAAAATGTCAAATTCTTGTACACATATTCTGGGACAGAAAGCTCACAAAGTTATCATCCCCTCTCAATTTTTCATGACAAAAGTTACACATTGATTAAACAATTACTTTATATAAGACATTAATCACTAATTCTCTTACATATATCTATGCCATGGGGTGGTGATGTGACTGTTGTTCACATGGGTGTGTGTGTGTGTGTGTGTTTAAATCATAGAAAAATCAGAAAAGTTTCCCTGCAGAGGTTAGATCGCCTTTGCTTTAGTTTGCCACCAAACTTTGATGGCTCCATATAATCTTCTTTCATACAATTCTCTTATATGCACTTAGAAGTAGCAAACTTATTTCCTGTAATGGAAAACTTATGAAAATATAGAAGGAAAGTAAAGAGGACTAAAAGATGTTTGTGAGCTCTGGATATCACAGGTAATTGTTCAAGCACCTTGAGACTTCTGAGAATTCAAAATGGTTTTCACTTGAGGGAGCACCCAGGAAAAAACACACTCTAAAAGTCTCCCAGGCTATCTTCAAAACTAAACAATGCATCTTGTGTACAATCCAATTTACTTGGTTTAAAGCTATGAATATCTTTGCTGCATTTTCTCAATGATAAAATAACCCATTACTTCACAAGTAAGTGATTCTGAAATAAGTCACACATTCCATGTTGCTAGGTCCAGCTATTTAATCTTGCTTCATTGTACCAATGCCACCAAATGAATGTCTGAACCATTATATACATATGACCTGCATGCTGCTGTTTTGTTTATTATCTGTAGCAACTTAGAGACCCGTTCTTGAAGCAATCCAGTGTCGGTAATAAGTCACTTGTGTGTAGACTCCAGGTTTGTTCTTTTGACCACAATTATCTCCCCAACTCACAATTCCAAGGAGATACCATGTGTCTTTATTGTCTTTTACAACTAATGGTCCCCCAGAGTCACCCTGAAAACAAACAACAGAAAAACAATTAGCTAAGCAGTTCATTATTTACAAAAGTTTGATGAACCACTTACTTTATTATTAGTGTATACATAGATTACCGTTACTGAATGAATAAATAAAACAGAGTTGAAAATCAAGGTAAAGCTACACATTTTTCTACTAAATTTTGATTTTGAGTAAACAACATAGCATTAAAAAGAAAAAAAACCTGAAGTACACATCTCATCTAGTGTTTCTTACTGTATCTAACTCCTTATCAAGTACTCAAATTGCCTTTTTTTTAAAAAAAAAATTAAGACTTCACATATTACTTTTCTGTCATGGTAGTGGATACTTAACTATTCATCTCCTTTGCAACTTTTCCTCACCAGAGCTTAATGAGCTCTATATCGTGTTAATTAACAGTGATGCTTGTTTTGTAAATATTACTTTTGAATGAGTCAAGTTCTCCAGAAAGGTGATGCCTGAACCCACCCACTGATTTCTCTTTGTTTTAATTGAAAACAAATTATTTTTTTCATACAACAAATACATTCTGATCATGGTTTCTTATCCTCTTTCATCTCCTCCCAGATCCTCCCCACACCCCTACTCTTCTAACTCCAAGCTTTCTTTCTCTCTGTCTTCAGGAAACAAATAGGCAAATAAAAGAGATAAACAAAAATAAAACAAAATGAACAAACATAAAAACAAAGGAAAAACCACTAGAAACACATACACACACACACACACACACACACACACACACACACACACACGGTGACCCACACACCTACATGAACAAAACCCATAGAAACGTAAAATATACATGACGTATAAGCAAAAACCATAATATGCAAGCAAAAAACCAGTGTGGTTAAAAAAAAAGTCTAAGCAAAGCAATATGAGACAAAAAAAATTATCAAAACTCTCCAAAATCACAATTTAGTTTGTTTTGTGTTGGCCATCTATTGCTGGGCATGAGGCCTATTCTTAAGTGTGGTGTGTGCCCTTTGAGACTCTTCTGGAGAAAACTAATTTTTCCTCTGTAAGTGGTTGTGAAATGGAGATGGCTTCTTCCACCCAGTGTGTTCTGCAATGATTGAAATCAACTTATGAGAGTTCTTTCTCAGTGCCCGATAGTGGTTAGCAACCCCAATCTGTTTTATCAAACTCTTGACTAAGTGACAACCAGAAACAAAATTACAAATCTGCACGAAGTTGTGAAGACTTTTTTTTTTCTTTTGAGTTTCTCACCAGCAATTTTTTTAATTTGTACTTGAATCTTACCCACCTAGATGTTTGGTGGAGGAATTCTCATTCTCACTCTTGCTCTCTTAGGCTCTAGCAATGCTGCTGCTCTCTCTTGTTTTCTCTTTGTTTCTCTCTTCCCTCTCCTTCCACCCCTCTCTCCTCTCTCCATCTCTCTCTGTCTCTCTCTCTTCCCCCTCCCTAGCTCCTTCTCCCCTTCTCCCTTTCTCTCTCCTCTATCTTCATTAGGGGGATTTATTGAATTCTAGATGAACATGTGATGATGTAAGAAATCCAGATTGATGTTGGTACTTTTAATTCAGTTTTATTAGTTTCTCTGAAGCCCTGATTGTGTACCCAAGTCACCATCACTTGAACCACTACCCTAGTGACTTTTTATATGAGTAGGTTTTTTTTTTATATATATTTCTTTCTTTCCCATCCCAGTGAATCCTCTGGACCACAAATCTGTCCACTGATATCAGTATTATCATCCCCTATGTGCTCCATACCTTCTGATCACTTCTACCCATTTCTTGCTTGGATCCTTAAATTCTGGCTGTCTCCTTCCACACTCTTAGCAACTGAGATTGGTTGTGTGTTAGATCCTGTTCTGACTCAACCAACCTATGTGTTATAAAATTCTGTGCTCTTTCCACAGATGTTGATCATTGTGTAATTTGTTGGCCTGTGGGCAGGGCTTTAAGGTGTCCCATGCCACTAATAGTCTCATGGTTTTACTGTGTAGATTCACATCCTTGAAAATTTTGAGAGTCTCACGTCAAAAAAAAAAAAAGATTGTGTATGGAAAGAAACATATTCAGACCTTCATCAGAAAATGTACATTCCTTATGGGTTCTGGAAGACCGAGGGAGACACCATGAAGAACTGCAGGATGTTGACAGTATAACCTAATCAAACTTTGCACCACTAAATAGTCCTACCACCTGTCATTCTGTTTGTGCCTTGGTAGGTGTTACCAACTATGAATTACAGTAGTTGGTAATAAATACAAATATATACACCGTCACAGTTAACTATTTCCTCTTCTAATTCTGTAAATGGGTAAGTGCTACTTATTCTTTAGTTCTCTTTGAAGCATCATCTCCCTGATGCTTGGCCCAACAATGTTTCCTTGAAGGGAAAGAAAGCTGCTTCTTTTCCATTACATTCTTAGAGCATCACAGTTCACTGTACACGGTTGCTGCCCTTAAATACGCGAAGCTGTTGTGTAAGAAGACGTGACTTTCCTGTTGTCCTATGAGTTCCTGGTTATTAAGACACTGAAATTGTGTGTTTGATAGCATCAAAGAAATCCTTCGCTTGTTTCAAGTTGTTTAATTAAAAACATTTAAAAGTATGTGCTATGATGTTTACACCTTCGGAGAGGTCAGTATGTCTGTGTCCTGCACTAGAAAAAAAGAACACAGAGCATTCCTGGGCTGAGTGAAACGCTTTTGAGTTAGTGACTTCGGTTTTTTTTTTTTTTCTTTCTCTCTCCAACCTACCCTGCAGGCATCGTACTTTCCTTCCAGATATCCGGCACAGAACATCCCACGCTTTATGTCGTTGCCATACACCTGCGGTTGTTTGCAGACGTCATTGCTTATGAGCTCTACCCGGGCTTCTCGGAGCTCATTTTGGGATTCCCCTTAAGAAAAAACAAAGTGGTCTCAGAATTTTCAACAAGTGTTCTTAGGTGGACTGAAGTGAATAAGTTCTTTTCTAATCTTCTCCATTCTAAAGTTGTTCATATGGACTACGGTTAGCTTGAACAGTCCTAGAGAAAAACAGTCTAACTAAAATCTGGCACATGCCTTTAACCCCCATGTTTGAGAGGCAGAGGCACATGTGTCTCTGCAAGTTTGAGCCTGGTTTGGTCAACATAGACATACAGTGCTACACAGGGAGACCCTGTCTCAAACCAAAAACAAAACGCAAAACCTGATGCATTTAATGACGGTTGTTGTATTACCAATTTGAATAAATACTTCTATAAGCAGGTGACCATTTGGCTTCCTTTCCAGAAAATCCTTAAAGTTTTACTTTCAATATAGTACATTTATTTTTTATTAATTTTTATTTTTATTTTATGTCTATAGACATTTTGCATTCATGTATGTTTGTGCACCACACACTCTTTGCAATGTCTGTGGAGTTCAAAAGAGTTGGATCCCCTGGAACTGGAATTATATATGATTGTGAACCATCATATGGGTGTTGGGAACTGACCCTGGGTCCTTTGGAAAAGTTGTCAGTGCTGTTAACTTCTTGAGCCCTCCAAACCCTTTTTTAAAAAAGAAATGCATATTATTTTTTTTTTAAAATAAACTTGTGTTTATGGATTCTAGATTGTTCCCACAAACGTTACATGTTTAGTTTGGTCTTGTTTCTTGGTATGATAAATATGGTATTGTTTCTTGGTTTGATAAAGCACCACTTAAACTACATATCTTTATCCAGTCCTGTGCATTTGCAAAGAGCTTTCATGTATATAATTGCATTACATGACAATTTAATGTCTTATAAACAAATTTGTTTTAGATAAAGTTAAGCATCCAGGTCCTAAGCTAGGCCTGTATGACAGGCAGAAACAGGAAATCCAAGAGTATCACAAACATTCTGGAACTGTTTTTCTCAATCATGGAGTAGATGGAAATCATGCACTCTGGTCGGCAGAACTCCAGCACAGTGCCCAACATTCTTTTGTTATTCTTCTTTCCCTAAGTGTGGGTTGGACTCTGTGAATGTGATGGGAATCATTTCCATGATTAGGCTTAAGTTATACGGTAAAGTGCTGGGAAATTTTTTATATAAAATAGTGTATTTAATCTGATTGACTTTGGCATAATCAAAGGGGAGATTATCCAAGGCAGACCTAGCCAAATCAGGTAAGATTTAGAATTTCCTCGTGCTTGGACACATTTTCTTGAAGATGCTGAGGAAGCATGCTGTATAGCTGCAAGAAACAGAATTCTAGCAGCTACCAGACAGCTGGGAAGAGAATCCTGAGCCACAGGTGAGGCCACACCCAGACTGCAGTTCTGAAAGACTCAGAGAAGAAAACCCAATGACCATCAGAACTTCTGACCCAAAAATTAAATTAATAATATATGTATGTGTCTATGTATACATATGTATTCTTACTGTATTATCAATTTTTAAAAAGGTATCTAGTTCTGGCAAGGGCTGGTGAATATGAAAACTGATCATTTCTAGGTGGTAGACAAGTTCATTGTTTTTATAGAAAACTTCTTGGGAAAATATAATAAAATTATGAAAAGCATAGCTCCAAAATTTATACCCCCAAATCCCTAACTATATCCCAACTACTTTAGGAACACCTACTGGCTTTTTAAAGACTATTGATTTATATCAAAGAACTTCATTCATATTTGTCCATTTTATCTACTTTTTTGTCTTTATTATTCCTTCCTTCTGCTTGTTTAAGATTTATTTTTCTCATCTTAGTTTGGCATTTAGTTTATAGAGAGCTTCTTTTCTGACATAAGCACAGATACACTCTGTTCAGTATTCAGGTTTAATTCAGTTCCAGATACTTTTAAGAGATTTGCCCCAGAAGTTTCATTTATCTAGGTGCATGTTCCTGAATTTCTAAGCACATAGACATTTTCCTGTTATCTCTTTGCTGTTGTTTTCCAGTTTAAGTTCATATGGCCATAGAACATACAGTGTATGGTCTCAGTTATTTCATATTCACTAATGCTTACTTTCCATAAATGGATATGGACTTCCTTGGAGAATAAGCCACAGGCTCTTGTGGTTAATGCGTGGCCTACTGCGTTAAAGACAGTGTTTTATAAATGTCTAAACTTATTGCTATTCACAATGTATTCTGTCAGGTATGTATCTGTTCCAACCTCAGACTGTTGCCAGAACCAGATTTTTCTTTCATCAAGGGGAATTCATGATGTGCCTTCCAGAATTATATCGCAGAGAGAGTCCATCAGATACAGTGCAACCATAGTGTGATATTGTGTTCCAACTACCCTGCTGGAACTAAGAAATGATAGGTTCTTAGTCAGTTATATGACCATGGAGAAAGCAATGTCTTGAGCATGTCTAAGATGGAACTGAGCAGAGTGAACATCTAAGGTAAGTCTAGGGTCTACAAAGCCTGTTCCAAGTGATGCTTGTGTGCTTTCCCAGTTCCTTGGTGGAACATGAGATTAGAGGTTTATTCCTGGACATTTTTTTGTGTGTCTAGAGTACAGGCTGCTTTGAATGGATGTTGTCATTTTCTTTTCTTTCTTTTTCTTTTCTTTTCTTTTCTTTTTTTTTTTTTGAGACAGGGTTTCTCTGTGCAGCTTTGTACCTTTCCTGAAACTCACTCTGTAGCCCAGGCTGGCCTTGAACTCACAGAGATCCGCCTGGCTCTGCCTCTCGAGTGCTGGGATTAAAGGCGTGCACCACCACCACCACCACCACCAGGCAGATGTTGCCATTTTCAAAAGCTCATTTTTCATTTCCTCAAGTCGACAGTCAAATCTTTCAGAGATTGTTATATATGCCTGAGAAATACTGAAAACATTCAGCAACAATCATTAAAAGTTAACAATAAAGTTGAATCAGCTTAGAGAGGGTAAGCATGTTTTGACAATTCATTTCCATACTGGTTTTATTCTTAACCACCATTAAATTAGCTTCTTTAATACTAAAGTAAAATTAACTGCACAGGCATAAAAAATAATGGTCAATCCAGTATTCTAGGACCGCCTGTCAACTACTTCTGCCACTAGGTGGAGCTAGAGTTTCCACTGGTGACAGTAACCTGGGGAAAACAAGACTTACAGGCACAAAGATGTAGAGGTTCAGGATTCAGCAACATTATTTAAACTCTGTACGTACGCTATCTATATCTAAGAGAGATTTTGTTGTGGAATAATCTTTTTGTACACTGTGAAGATGTGCCTTTGTCAAAGCACCTTCTGATTGGCTTAATAAAGAGTTGAATGGTCAATAGCTAGGCAGGAAAAGAAGTTAGGCAGGACTTCTGAGGACAGAGAGGTCTCGGGAGTAAAAGAAAGGTGGAGTTGCCAGATAGATGAGGAGAAAAAGAGGATGGACAAAGTGAAGATGAGGTAACAAACATGTGGAATAATGTAGATTAAAAAATATGAGTTAATTTAAGTTATAAGAGCTAGTTAGAAACAAGTCTAAGCTATTGGCCAAGCTTTCATAGTTAATAATAAGTCTCCATATCATTATTGGGGAGACAGCAGTCCCAATGACGAACACTTACTACAAATGATGCCCAGTGTGGGGTATGTATTCCTACATGAGAAAGCTTAAAAAAAAAAAGACGATTCCAAACACATAAAAACAGAGCCAAACATGGCTTCCTCGTCCTGCAGTCTCTCATGTGGGCCATGGAACTGAGACACACCACCTGTGGGCTTGAGCTTCCAGTGTGCCATGAGCTAAGCTATGTGGTGGTTTAAGGTTTTGCTCATACAGACAAAAAAAAGTTACAGATATGCAGTAATGCAGGTTCAGATGAAAAACAAACCCTCTAAACAGGTAACAGTGTGTTTAACAATGTGCGTAGGTTTAAGTGGGGAAAAAAAAGGACATACACAGTCATGAAAACAAGCTTAAAAATAATAAAGTCTTTAAAGAGAGAAGTAATTTAAAAAAACAATAAGCCATGTAAGAATGGGAAATATTATAACACAGGGACTTTGGAATTTATATGCTACTTTGTTAATTTAAAATTTTTTGAATGCTGAAAAAGAGAGAACAATAACTGCTGAGAGACATTGGATTGTGAAAGGGACTGCTGAATTAAACCAGCCTAGATACTTTAGAGATGTCTTGACTTCAGAGTGGAAGTTCAGAATGAAAATGTGTTGCCATGGAGGAGAGGTTGTGCTTTTGTTTCCACAGGAAATGAAAAGCTGTTGATTCCTTCCAGGTTAATAGGGGTCAGATTTGACCAGGGGAAAACTCCTGAGTATCTTGGCTACAGACATAAAGAAGTAAACCTAGAAAAACTCTAAGACAGGTGACATATGTTTTACTTGCCCAAACATAAAACAAACAAACAAAAAATCATCTTTGGCTGGCTTATGTACAATTCACAATCCACAGTTGTGTTAATGCAGATATGTTCATAACCTTTGAATGTTTATGTGTTTTCAGAGCAAAAGGACCAGATACCAATGAAAATGGGTGGTCCAGGTGATCCAGCCTCTCAGAGTGCCTCTGTTGCAGTTTCCTCGGAGATCTGTACCCAGAACAGCTTCAAATCTGCTGAGTGAGATGGTCCAGCCTCACAGACTCTTCTAGCCAGGATTTGACCATTATCCTAATTTTCTCAAGGTTCCCCAAAGATGCCAGAGTCCCCAGGCATCAGGAAGCAGTCTAGAGAACACAACGTCCACATTCCCAAGAGATGAGGTGGGTGATTTTTGGTCATTCGGTGGGTTATGGATGTTTGTTATTGTTTATGGGGGTTAGTTACAAATTGTTACTGGTCCTGGCCAGAAAAAAAAAACGGAACAAAGGAGATTAGATTCAGGGATCTCTATCTGAAGAGAAAAGGGGGATATAGTATAGAAATAATGGGATAAAAGATTGAATTGTTGAGTCTACTTTTGAAAAGCACTAGTCTCAAATAATTTACATTGATATGGATTTTTGTATATTGATACAAATTTCAGGATATTTTTGTTATATTGTATTGTATGTTTCCATTTCTTATATAAGGTGTACCTATGTAGCTCATTTTAAAATGTAATGTAAGGTTTTAGTCCTTAGAAGCTATTTAGGATAATAAAGAAATACAGGTTAATAGTTAGTCACCTATAGCAATCAAACTTATTGTTGTGTTAGGTATGTTTTCAAGGTCATATGAAGATATATTTTAAATAGATAGGTGATCTTCAAACACTTCAAAGACCTACAGAATATGAAATTTAAAATGTTTAAATAACAAGGCTTTTCATGACAGTGAGACACATCAGCCCATGGCAACACCAATTTACTTCAAAAAAGGATGGCAGGCATTGAAGAACCTCCATATGGAGTTTGCTTTCAATGTGGCAGAAGCTAGCCATTTGGGCAAGAAACTGATCTTGCTTCAGTGCTGACAATATGCTGTCCAAATTGGACAAGCAGGACACAAAAGAAGGCAACTGCCAAACTTTTCCAAGAGAAGGTGGGACAGTCCTTCAAAATTCCTGCTTCATTGAAAAGTCTGTCAGACATTCTAGGCCTATAGGACAAAGATGAATGCCCCAACATTGACAATGAACCTTGGAGTGACTGTCCAGGCAGACAGATGCCTCTATCATTTCTATAGTTTTGGAAGTTGTTTTCTCTGCATTTCCTCTTTACTCAAGTAATATTTCATCCATTTGGGGTCACTGATGGGAATGGAAGACTAGATAGTTACAGTTTTACAGTTTTCCTTGTTACCAAATTCAGAAAAGAAGTTTCCATAAGAGATGTAAAGTTTATAAGGTTGAGAAACAAAAAAGCTTTAACTTGTTTATCTAAAAAGATGTTTTAAGGTCTAAAAAGATACTTTTAGGATGGTAATACATGGTATGATAGAAACTGGTCTAAATATAAAACTTTGAACTCACTAAGATAGGATAGATAATGGATTAGTTTCTCTAAATTTGCCAAATGAAAATGGACTAACCATTGTAAATGTATTTCTTACTTGATAATTGTTCTTACTGTATATAGTTTTACTGTGTTAGAGTTAAAGCCTTTCTTTTTTATTCAGACAAAAGGGGGAAATGTGAAATAATCTTTTTGTATACTGTGAAGATGTGTCTTTGCCAAAACTCCTTCTAATTGGTTTAATGGAAAGCTTAATGACCAATAGCTAGGCAGAAAAAGAGGTTAGATGGGACTTCGGGGACAGCCAGGACTTGGGAGAAAAAGAAAGGTGGAGTTATCATCCATATGTTAATGAAGGAAGATACTCAAAATGGAGATGAAGTAGTGAGTGCACGGAGGAAGAATGTAGATTAAAAAATATAGGTTAAGTTACAAGAGCAAGTTAGAAACAAGCCTAAGCTATTGGCCAAGCTTCATAATTAGTAAGTCTCCATGTCATTTTAGGGGAGCCCATGGTCCCAGTGGAAAACACTGACTACAAGATTTCTCACGCAGGACACCTGAATTTCAAGGGCCAAATTTGTTTTGTTTTTGTTTTGTGTTGGATTTCTGTTACTTATAGAACAAGAGCCCTAAATAACCAAAACGAGCTTCGGGGAAAGGGCTGGCAACATAATACAAGTGATCAAATTACTCTGCGAAAGGGCTAAGCTGTCTGTTGGCTGTTCGGAGGTACTCACCAATACTACTCACCAGTATAGTAAAGTGCTCCAAATCCTGTGATGAAGAAAGTTGAATTTGGGGGAAATGATGCAGAGGCTTCTGGCAAACAAATTCGGCGTACTTCATCTGAATAGGTGACTTTTGGAGAAAACTGCACAAGAGCAATGTCATGGTCTCTTGCTGGGGGCCGATACCTCTCGTGCATAATAATTCTTCGGACATCTCTTTTCATTAAGGGAGGGTTTATTGTTGTTCCAAAGCTAAGAGTCCATTGACGTGGGTTTCCATTACTGGAAAAGATTAGCAGCATACATGAGCTGCACAATATCCATTAACTACATTATTTAGATTAGTTAACTACATGTATTTAGGTTAATTCAAGAGAAAATATCACTCGTGATAATACTTGGTTGCAATTATAGTTTCATTTAAAAGCCTGTTGCCCATGACTTAAGTATAAAATATGTACAAATAGCACATTGGAGGTATATTTAATATTTAACTATTGAGTTTCAGAAGTGTAAGACATATACAATATTATTCACTTATTCCCTCAGCAAATACTTATTAATCATGTATGTCTAATGTTATTGAAGTGCTAGGAATAAAGGAGCACACAAGACATACATTTTCAGTTCATACAAGTTTTATGTTTGAGGACAGAGAAGTATAAAAATTAATTAAAATGTTGATAAATAACAAGAATTCTAAAGATTATTAACAAAATAGGATAATGCATAATGTACTAGTGGTGTGGGGTTATGGAAGGCTTTTTTGTTATTGTTATTTTAGTATGATACGTTTAGGTTGATGGAGAGTTGTCAGCTATGAGACAATAAGGAAGAGAGATTTCCAGGGAAGTATCTGAGGGCCTTGGGCCAGGTGGGATTCAGTTTAAGACACCTGAGGAAGAACAGTGGAAGATGATGCTGAAGAGTTAGGTAGGTACTAGTGTCTTACTGGGAGAGAGAAAGTGCTTATGCTTTATTTAAGGGATACTGGGATTCTTTTGAAGTTTTAAAACTTGGAGTTATGTAGCCTTATTTACATATGTATGTCTTTTAACGCTAGAACATCCCTTTCAGACACACCAGTCTTCCACATAATGAGTTCTGTGTTAACTCAATATTAGATTGAAATAATATGAAACATGCTATTTGGGATTTTTGTTTGTTTGGTCGGTTTGGTTTTTGTTTGTTTGTTTGTTCTTTTTATAAATCTGTACTTTTGAGTACTTCTGTATTCACCTCTCAGTGAAAGGGCTTCCCCATCAGGGTTTATATGAAGAGAGAGGTTGTGAGAATTATAGAAAGAAATCTCAAGCATCTAATCAAGTGCCTGTAGCACCACAGAGCTTAATAATTATGCTAGTTGTTGACACAAAAGCTCTGTCAGCCCTTCATTGCCTCGGCGTGATCCCTCATGCAGAAGGAGGCATGATCCACTTTAGAATCCCTTTGTTCATCTTGGCATCCCCTTCATCTTTCGGCAGCTTTGCCTGCTGACAAGTTCTTTCTTGACTCCCTACGTCTTTCCCAAAGACATGACAGGACTTCAGATCAGTTAATACAACCCTATTATCTGCATTAGAGATTTCTCGGAATAAGATTTCGTCATGTAGGCCAACGTTTCTCAAACATGAATGTGCGCACAAATGATTAGGGGCTTTCACTCAGACTCAGTACCTGAGTCTGAAGCTCTGGGATAGCGTTGAACCATTTTCATTTCTGAACAATTCCCTAGTGATGTGGGTGCTGCTGCTTGGTGGCCTGCCCGTCGAGTGGCAAGGCAAACAGTTTACTGCCTGCTCCATGCCATCTGAGACTCTCTAAGAATATTCCATTTTGTCAAGGTCAGTTTAACTGTGTCACCTAGTTCAGAGTTTACTCTCCCAGATAAGATCTGACCAGCTTAGGTCTTTAAAAATCCTGATTTTTAAAGATGTAATGTGAATCATAGTCAAACTTTGGTGATTGATTCGATGACAGCACTATAAATTTGACCTGAGAAGTTCTCAGCAACCTTTACCCATTTCCTGCCTCCTTGAAGATTTCGGCTTCAGTTCATCAGCACCACCATGAGACTGACCAAGGGCTTGATGGAAACAGGTGCTAATGTTAAATGGAGAATATTATTTAACAAACAGCTGGATTTATTAGTACATGTGTTGTGTTACAGTGACTTCTGCTTTGTTGTAACTTCTTTAGTTAAAACTTTAAAGACTTAATTAATGAACACTGGAATATTGTTCAGCACTCCTTTATTCCAACCAAACTTTAAGTATGCAAGTAGAACATTATTGTAGAAAAGGATCAGAAAGATTTTTCTTTTTTTTTTAACTTCATATTTGAGACCTGAACAAGTATTCAGCGTATGGAAATACTCATGGTTGTCAGCAAAATGGGGACTGACTTACGTTCAGTAACTTACGTTCTAAAACAGTGTGCTGCAGTGACCACCCACATGTTACCAATCAAGGTGCCCCCACACTGATGGATGTTGCTGCGCTGAAGAGAAACTTGCCAAGGCCAGGCACCCCTAGCTGCAGGGTTTCCAGATACTATTCTGTTGGCAATTAATGGGATAGCTCGTTTGCCACAATCTGAAAAAGAAGAAACCATTTATAAGAAACGTCTGCCTGGTTTTTGACGCAGAGGATCCTACAGAATGCTGCAATGCAGACATCAGATTTGTTACTTTTTAAACCTGACCACTATTCATTTTTTTTTCCTTTTGTACTGACACATTGCTTAGTCCAGCCATTATATATGTGAATATACATTGTTTACTAAACTATAAAAGGTTGACAGCATCAGCCCCAGGGACTCACAATTGGTAGTTATCTAGTTATTCTAGGAGGCCCCACCAAGGTTATTGTTTTTGCAGTTGTAGGTAATCTAACAGTGTTGTGTTGTTACCATGGGTTCTCATCAGAAGGACAACTCCCTTTAGCCAGATAAACAGTGGCCTGTTTGGTGGAGACACGTTTGATGTCTACCTTTCTAGAGTGACTACATACTAAGGTGTGCAAGGATTAATGCACCACAACTAGTCATTCATTCTTTAGGATGGAGATTTCCATGTTTCCATATAAACATCACATTCACTATTGACAAGAATAAACATGCACTCCATCACATTAGAGGCTGCTTTGGTACTTGGGGTTGCTATGAAGACAAAGAAAATGTAGTAGGTTGAGTCTTGTTCCAACAAATAATTATGAGAAAAGAAAATTCATTTACTTATTTCTGAAACAAATACAGCTGTTTCAGAAATCTCTAGCATGCTACCATTGCTCTCATTTAAATAGCCATTTTCCTCATCTGAAGGTCTTGAGCAGCTCCCACATCATTTCCTTGTTCCAGTCTTGTCCCTCTATAATCTGTTTTCTTCACTGGATATCAAATGGTCTTCCAGAAATGTGTGAGCCCATGGTTGCCCTCCAAATAGAGTAAACATCTTTCCAGTGATTCTGGCCACTGATGACTATTAATCACATCTCTTTCCCACACACTCAGGTCCCAAGTCTATATTATAGCCAAGAAGACATTTTTTATTTGTAGGAAATGATGCCTTCACGTTCCTGCTCTTCTTGTGATTCATGGCCTCTCTTTTCTATCATTTCAGAGATTATTTTCTGATGCAACAAGACCAGATGAGCTAACTCTGATAGACTCTTAAAGAATTGTATATTTTCTTAAATCATTCGTCCCACTATATTAATAATTTTCAATTAATTTCTTTTACTTTGGAATTATGTTTTGAAGAAGATCATGTCTTAGTCACAGTGGTATGACCAGCTCTTGGCACACTCTTTGACACTGTATTAAAGGTAAATAAATAATGGTAACTAATAAAACTGTAAAATAATGAAAAGAGATAAATGAATAAAAAAGTAAAAATAGTGCAGGTTATTGCAACACACAGAAGCAAAATCATGGATCACTGCTCAAATCCTCCACCACATCGATAAAATCTTTCAAAATTCATGCCACATTGAGTTGAAATGAATTGATAAAGTCACTGCCAGGTATGAAAATAATGCTAGTATATTTTCAGTAGTCAGTCTCAGAAAATGGATTCATTTCTTACCCTTGTATATCCTTATATCATTTTAATTTCAGCAGGAAGAAGGTCTCAAAACTTTTTTTTAAATTAGAAAAGCCCACTCATTTAAAAACTAGAAATATGCTTTTTTTTAAAAAAAAACTTTCTTAGTCTTAGAATTAGAAAAATACATATCCGTCTAATGCCCAATTGTTATTCTTTCAGATAAAAATGTGAATGTAGATGAGAAATTATGAGCTAATATTTGAAGATATGATTGCTGATGTGGAAATTGAACTTGTTTATATAATCTAACTAGACTTATATATTTAGAAAGTTATTTTCTCTGATGATGAACACATTGTTCAAAGCCAAATAGAAAAAGAGTGATGACTTGATGTTCTCCAGATTCATCGCAATAATCAGAGGCTACCAGAGGCCACTGACCATGGATGGATTCTAGATAGTTGATCACACAGGACACTGGCTCTCTCATACACATTTGATATAAAATGTATTTAATTAGTTGGATAATTTCTTACTCATTGTGTCAGACAAAAATAGTGGATGAATAAATTCCACAAGTAGTTTCCACTAATGCAGAATTGTGGTTTTCAAAGAGTCCCAGGTAAATCCTCTCAGATTTCACTTTAGGACGAGAAGAGGGAATAAGTAGATAGGTCCCCTAGGCATAACACTCTGTCTCAACCAAAACATGTCTACTTTTGTTTCTTTTGTTTACTTAAGATTTCAGATAAGCCTATTTTTCTCAAAGAGTTTAGGATGAAAAGACTTTGAACAACTCTAAAATAAATTGTGCTTAAAGTACTTCTCAGACATGTTCCCAACTAATTAAATGCTGTGTCTTATATACATACATATATATATATATATATATATATATATATATATATATATATATATATATATAAAAGCTGGACACAGTAGTGCATGCTTGTAATCCCAACACTCTGGAGGCAAAGACAGGAAAATCCCTAGATGGACCCTTTCTCAAAAGACAAGTAAAAATGAAAAATAAGACTATAGTGCACCATTATATAACCTAAGCTGAATTTTGTGAAAGTTCAACTTTAAGGTTAAATTCAGTTAGAAATTTGAAAAAGGAAACAAATTCTTATGCCTATATGAAATAGCATGTTGTATATAATAAATACATACAATTTTTTACTTATACACTGTAGTTCAGTGAGATGGGAAATATGATGGTGGGAAGTTGCATTAAATGGTGATTTTTTTTTTTTTTTTTTAGTTAAAGTGGCTCACTAAACAAGATAGTAATAAATTACAGGGCTATGTTTCTCAGAATTAGTCTCTGCATCCTGTTTCCCTTTGAGGAAAATAAGAATGTGTCATTCTGCCAACTCCTTATAAGCTCTATGCAAGTAGCTGGTGACAACGACCCCTGCGAAGCAGGAGCTTAAGAAAGAATGAGTTGAGAATCATCCTTGAAGCCATCCGCCAGACGCAGTGAAGACGCAGTTGCTTAAGTGCTTACGCTACGGGAGTAACTCAGTTTTCTATCTCGTGTAGTTTATCAGCTTCTTGTTCAGCTGAAACCCAAACAAAACATAAAGAAGAAGGAATTTGATTGGTCCGTAGTGATACGTTGAAATGGTGTCACAATGGAAGGCCTAAGTGGACCGTCATGTTCCTCTTTCTTTCAGCTGATCCTCTCTAGCTCTGCTACCATACAAGACTTATCTGACTGCTGTCACTAAAGGGTTAAAAGACTTCACTGTGGAACGCTTCCTCCCCTGTCCTCTGGAAGAAAGTTGCTTGTCTTTATCTCCCTTGGAATTCTGGGGAAAAGTGGCTGTGTGCTGTCTACCCTTTTTTCCAGTGAAAAGAGGATCTTTGTGTACTGATGATAACTGGAGAAGCAGTTATTCTCTGGAAAAGGCACAAAACCGACAGTAATTCCAGAAATCCTCCTCAGTAACTTTTCTTTAAGTTTACAGAACATGGACTACCCTGTGATGCAGTGTATAGGCAGTCTGCGCACCAGAAGAGCAGATCATCCTGAGTTTGTAACCCCTCTGCTGCCTACCTTCTCTACAACTCTCTAGATAAGTTGGGTGCTTGCACCTACAATAAATAAATAAATAAATAAATAAATAAATAAATAAATAAATAAATAAATAAATAAGATGATGTTGTTTTAAGAAGGCCCGTGGTAGTTTGAATAAGAATGGCCCTCCATAGGCTTGTGTATTTGAGTGCTAGGTCCCCCCGTTAATGGAACTGTCTGGGAAGGATGGGGATGTGTGGCCTTTGTAGAAGAGGTGTGTCATTGGGGGCAGGCTTTGAGCTTCCAAAAGGCATGTACCATTCCCAGTTACATCTCTCTCCCTGCCTCATGGTTGTGAGCTCTCAGCTACTGTTTCAGTGCCGTGCCTGCCTGTCTGCTGCTGTGTTTTGTCATGGACAAAGTAATGTGACAAGTAACTATGACAGAGCCTCTGTTTTCTTGGTTTGGTTAAATTTCTGAATAATTTTTTTTCCCTTACTCTAACAACTTATCATTGAGTCGTTGATGCATTTGAGTAGCAAGCAAGGTACCTAGGCTCACAGTCACACAGTAGAATTCTTCTATTAGACCTTCATCAATGCAGTATCAGGAAAATGCAAATTATCCATCTCCAGAATGACTCCAGGGTGAGCACTAAAGTAGCATAGTTGGAAATAGTATTTTTCTCCTCTGGCTTTGCTTTTGATTTTGAGTGAATACTGTCCCATGACCCTGACTTGCCTGAAACTCACTATGTAGACTGGTCTGGTTTTAAAGTTATAGCAATTCTCCTGCCTGGGCCTCTTGAATGTTGGGATCACAAGTATGCACTTCCATACCTGCCACTGTAATTGGAATTCTAAGAATATGTATTTTTAAGGAGACGGTTGCAGTCAGAGGTTGTCTGTCAACTTCTACTTGAAAAATTCTAATTCCAAAATATTTTTACTTAATTCAAAGTCACCATCCCCAACACATTTTGGAGGTCAGAAAAATCTAGTAGTGCTTGTGTTTTGCAGACGACAACCACTATGATGGGAAGTGGGGCACACTTCCCCTGACAAAGTCAGCGAACTGCTTTATAACAGTGGTAGCCTTAGGAATAGGAAGAAGTTGATTTCAGCTTTGATTCCACAACATTGTATCTACTGAAGGACCCAAATGGCACAGTTCTTTATCAAAATAAAACACAGACTCTTGCTAAAATATGGAAGAATCTTGAGCTAAAAGGTTATTTCTAGATTTAACTAAGACTGTCATTTTCTCATTTTTTGATAGCTCTCAAATGAAATGTTTTCTGGGAAAATATTTTAAGCAACACCCTTAGAGAAAACTGACCTTCTATTTCCCAACAGTAATCAGCTTATTTTTACATATACATGCCTTCACATTGAGTGAGGAGAAGAATCAAGAATCAGGAAGTCACTCACACATGAAAACCTAAGTTCGGGTTCAGAGCGCTAGCAGTCAGGTAAAAACCTGGATGTGGTAGTAGTGGGTTCCTGTAATCTTAGTCCTGGGGAGGTGGACACAAGAGGATCCCTGCAACTCACTGCCAAGTCAATCTCGGCAAATCACTGTACTCCAAATTTAGTAAGAGATCTTGTCTCCAAAAGCAAGGTGGAAAGAGACGGAAAAACCCTGACATTGAACTCCATCTTTCTCATGCTCACACATAGACACGCATGTCACACACACACACACACACACACACACACACACACACACACACACACACACACACACGCCCTAAGGACCATGCATCTGAGCTCTGCTGTCTCTATGGACCTTTCCTAGCTGCTCACAAGCACTGTTCATTTGGAAATTTTCAAACCTTTACAGTTCTAGCTCTTTCTCCTGACAGTCAATTTCAACCATGTCCGAAGCAATAGTTTCCAGGTGCCATATTATGTTTCCTATTTTCCTATATATTTTCTCATAGTTTTGTGTTGTCAAGAAGAAGAAGTATTATCATTTCACTTTTACAGGTTAAAAAGGATGCACACGCAGGTACGGACAATTACTTGTGTACTGCAATAACAAAGAGACTTTAGAATTAGGTGACCCTCAAACATTGTTCTCCACAAGAACATCCTCTTTTTAAATATGGTACAGTATTAAAGTACATGAAGCACAAGCTGAGCCCATATAAAACAGAAAGACCTGGTGGCCAGGGACCACGCTATGCTCCATCTCTTGTTTCCGATAGTGCAGGCAGGCTTTTGAGTTCCTGAAATATTAACTAAGTCTTGGAACTGCATACTGCCTGTCATGTAGCTTCTCAGAATCGCCATTATTTCACAACTGCAGCACCTAAGGAAAATGCATCGCGCATTTGGCAGGTTCTTTCCTTCCAGCTGGGAGGGGCCCTGCTTTACTGTCTTAGTAACTGACTTCATGTCATATGAGCAAGCATCTGCTGATCCATTATTTTGGGTTCTCATTTCCTAATGAAGTTTCCTCTTAAAGAGTCAGCTTGACCCTTGCAAGGGCAGGGCACCCTGTTTTGTTTCTAATACCAATCGTTTGTTCTTACTCTCTTAAATCTGGTTCCAATGGAGTTTATGGGATAAATCTGTACCTGTCTGCTGGAAGTAGATATTGTGTTAGCACATAGCGTGCAAGGGTAAGCATATTTCTGGTGTCCTGGCCTCCTCAGAGTCTCAAATATGCTAATACAAGTATTAAAATCCAGGAGACAAAGATCATAGAGTTTCAACTTTTGTTTGAGTATAGAACCCCTTTTTTGTAATACCCCCAAAATAAATTAGGCATCTAGATTTAACTCTTGGCTCCTTTTAATTATTATGTTGCTTAAATTTTTTTACACCAATGTAGTAGAATTTCCCCTACTTTACTAGTACATACAAATTAAATTAGATATTACATATAAGGTGTAGAGTTGGACCTTGATAAAGAAAGACTCTCTTCAATTCAGAGAGTTGAGGATGGTATAATGAGTTAACAGTGAAGAGAAAAGAGAAAAATAGAGCAATATATAAATGGTTACAGTGACTTCTTATTCCTGATGATTTTTAAGGTATTATTTATCAAGCAGTTCCAGTGACTCTAAAAGCAGTTTACCTTTTTCTAAGTGCTCATAATAAGACAAATAATAAAAACTTTACAATATCATCAAATACAGAAACTAACTATATTTTTAAAGGATACAGATGAGTTTGCCTTTTTTGAAGGTCCCAAACAGAAATCACTTATTGCTTAACCTTTAAACTTGCTTAATCATGGAGGCAGTTCCTGCCTTGGATTAACCCTGTTTGTGGTAAAGACGTCTTTACCGAGAGATGATCACCAATCAATTACTTCCAGGAAAAGTACTTGATGACTAACATTAGACATGCCTTCATAAGAGAATAATGAAACTTTGAAAGGTCTCATCTTTAGGTTGAATTTTCCCCATATGATTTTTTAGTACTATTTGGAATGGGGATGACAAGAGAGTTTATGGCTATATAAAGCATTTGTATCATGTGGGAATCAACCTACTTACCTTTTATTTGAACTAATGAGACACCAGCTGGCAAGGCTCTCGGGTTCCTTATCCTATGATTTAAGATGCTATGGTTCTTTTCTCCCATGGTCCTTTGCCCAGTAGAGGGGGACTGGAGCACCCTAACAATATCTGCTTTGGCATCATCTTCTTCTGGACTAGGAAACACAAGAGTAAGGTTTACATTCAAAGGGTCCACCTGATATCATCATCTCACCATCTTTCCTTCGACTTCCTGACCTGTGCTTCAGTTGCTGAGAATGTCAAGGGCCAGGTAATCCACTCACATTCACACACCTTTACATGCAACCTGGTAACTTAAATGTGTTTCTCATGGCCCTTCTTCTAGGTTTTTTGTTTGTTTGTTTTTGTTTTTTTTTTTACATTTTCTTTTGATTGCTCACCCCTCCCATTAACTTGAAGACAAGTTACTATACTGAGATAAGACTCAGACACAAAACATCAAAAAGTCATCAGAAAAATTAAAGGTTTTAATATGCTCAGGCTTTTGTGCTCAGTGTAGTTCTTATCCCTCAGAACTACAGTTGGTCAAAATGTAGAGAATAAGTGGACAACTCAGAGGTGCCTGTTCCCAAATGGGAAATAACCCTAATCCTCAAAGCTCAGGGAATATCATGAAAGGGGTGATGGAAGATCATAAGAGCCAGGGCCCAGGGGGTCAGCTATAAAACACTGTCTTCTGGTCATGGCAGGTGTATACTCTCTCTCATCAGGAATGGCTGACTGTGTAAGTCCTGTACAAGACTGTACCAGTCATAATTCCAGTATCGGAGGGGGAAGGGCTCATAAGACTGAGTTACAGTTGAGCTACGGGCCGGCAACAGCTGCTAAGGGAGGAAGAGTTAGATTTTTTTTTTTCAGGGATAAATTTCTTTATGGGTTGCCAGTGTGCCATGCCGGGGGTCAACCCTACTTTTACGTGCATATGGGGAATGATAATTCAGTGTATGTGTGTGTGTGTGTGTGTGTGTGTGTGTGTGTGTGTATTATATCCACATACACACATGTAATAACAATAAAAAAAAGACTTGAACTTGGAAGGGAAATGTCGGGGGCACACAGGAGGAATTGTAGGGTAGGGAGGATAAATTGATGTGATCAAAATGCACTGTACTCATAACAGCTTCTTAAAAATAAAATAAAAACATGAAAACCTCTGAGGGCTGAAATAAACCTTATATACTCTTGGGGAATGAATCACGTATCTGATATCTGAATCACCTCTACATCATCAGTGAGAAGTGGCTCACCAACCTCGGGGTAGTCATTAAGTTGTGGAAAATTAGCTTTGCTAAAGAGAGTGTTCCTTGTTCAGCTCTATTTTGAGAGTTATTTATATAGAACTTCAATGCCTCCTTCAGTTTTTGCATTAGACACAAAGCTTAAAGCCACCCAGTTTCAATATTTAAAACATCCATTTCCCCTTTCACATAAAACATTTGAAGACAGTGGCATGTGATCTCTGGGTCTCTTCCAGCTGATCACACCCACTTCCTTGAACTGTTTCATAGAAACAGAGTTTGGTCCCAACAACTGTGCAACTGAATTTTCATAGGCACGTATGGATAGGAACAACAAACAATTAAAGATGTTCTTTTTTGGAGCAGGGGAGGAGAGTAAGAATTGAAGTTTTGTTTGAAACTCTCAGTGTGTATAATTTTATGTGCAATTAACTTAAGTGTTCAAACACAAAGCTAGAAATTTCAATACTGTCTCATCTTTGTATTTATATATGGCAAAATATACCTGTGTGGTTTATTAAAGGTGTCTTAAAGAGTTGAAAATGATGCCTACTGATCTTTCATTTCCCCTATATTTATACCACAAAGCTACAAGCTCTAAAAAAAACCACGAATCTATTCTACTTGAATCTTTTGGCTAACAAGAAAATGAAAAAACTGTATAAATTCTGAGACACAGTATGTTTCACTTTCGACCTTTGCTCTAATATAGAAAAGTATAAGTAATGATAATTTTATGTTATTATTGGCAAATGTGGACCCAAATATTTTTCCATTTTAAATAAGAGGAAATGAAACAGTTTACTGAGTAGATTTCCACAAAAATAACACATTCAACACTGGCAACAAACCCAAAGGAGCTTCTCAAACTATAATGATGTTACTAAAATGCTGCAAAAAAATTGAAGTGAAGACAGAGGGTATAAAATGTAGAACATTCCAGCATTTATATGCTTTTTGTCTCCTAAATTACCCAAGCATGTTATGATAACCTCATGTAGGGGCTGGAGAGATGACCCAGTGGTTAAGAGTACTTGCTTCTCTTGCAGAAGACCCAAGTTCAGTTTCCAGCACCCACATGGTGGCTCACCACCACTCATTTTTCTCTTATGATCTCCAAGAGCACAGGACAGGTGTGATAAACGTATGTACAGACAGAGAAAATAAAACTAAATCTTTAAAAACTCCTTGTGGAAGTCATGAGTTATCAGAAGTAAAGATCTTCAGAATGTGGTCAATCATGTCTTGGCCTAATGATAAGAAAACTGATCAGCATCTATCCCTTTCAATAAATTCAGTTAAATATTTTAGTCGCTTTTATCAAGCTTTTTCAGTACATGTTTAATGTACAAAGTAGTGGGTTTCATAATTACAGTTTTGTTTGAGTATCTTCTTTTTTCTCTTTGAGATGAGTCACATGAACTCCTGGCTTTGTACTTGTCCTGCTGTGTGATTTTTAAAATAACAAAGTTTAAACCACTGAGTAATTTCAGCAACTGATACGAGTCCTCCCTCCCCACCCAAACAAAAGGGAGCATCTATTACAACACGATCATCTTTCGGTTCAGGCATGTCGCCTGTCACTAGGCCTTTGTTACTGGTAAAACCTCTGATCCTATTTTGTAGTAAACGTTGCCTTCTTGATGTTTTTGAAGCGTCATATCTGCCAGAAGTATAGGACTTGGTGCATGCAAAGACATGGCCTGGGTTTACTTACGGCTGTGGATTAAGGTGGATTCCAGGTCTCACAGTCAGTGGGTAGGGTTTGAGGGCCAGTGCTATCAGCTGTAACCATCTCTTGGGGAACATTCAGTACATCACCCTCCTTCTCCCCACACCTCATTGTCTCAATTTTCAGAATGGGTTTAGCACTGTACCTTGAGACTACTGTAGCAACAATGTTTTTGAAGAGCCCCAGCAAAGAGACACAAATTATGTGGGGTACCCTGTATCCTTTGCCCTTTCTCCCTCCAGGCTAGCAACTACACCCTTGCCCAAATATACATACGTTAGTCTGGCTATGTGGTTTTGGACGTGGTGCTTTTTCAAGGCTGAATCTATAAATATTTCATCTGCCTGTCATTACAAAAAAGAAAAACAATATGTTAGTAGGATAGTTTATAATGAGACTATGTCCCAGATTAAATGCTAAAGAAATAGAATTTTCACAATAGCAATATGATTATTTAAGTTAGTGATTTTTTCAGTAATTCAATAATTTATTCCCCTAAAAATTATGTAAATGGACATAACTCTTACTCACAAGGTGAATGCGAACGACACTTACAGAGAAGGCCTTTTTTCAAAGTCTCTCAGTGCATTGTACCAGCACTGTACTGTAGCTTTTAAATTAACACTACATATTTTTGTATTATTACGAATTATTTGTTATACATAAAAATATCTCACTGCAAAATGCTTTAAGGAAAGAGGGGGAAAGAAATTCAGAATGTCCCTAGAACGTACAGCTTTTACATTTAAAAGGGGGTGTGGAGATCCTGAAATATATATATAGGCATGCTGAATAATCCCACCCTGCTCCCACCCCTTCCATCCCTTATTCTGGGAAGCGGAAGGCTGAGGCAGGGAGACACTGCCAGCTGCCGCCATGACAAGCAGCATGTGAAGATGCCAGTCCCACAGCCGCTCAGACCCAGCCAAGTAAACACAGAGACTTCTATTGCTTTCAAACTGTATGGCCGTGGCAGGCTTCTTGCTAACTGTTCTTATAGCTTAAATTAATCCATTTCTATAAATCTATACCTTGCCACGTGGCTGGTGGCTTACCGGCGTCTGCACATGCTGCTTGTCATGGCGGATTAATTTAAGATATAAGAACAGTTAACAAGAAGCCTGCCAGGGCCATACAGTTTGTAAGCAATAGAAGTCCCTGTGTTTACTTGGCTGGGTCTGAGCGGCTGTGGGACTGGCGGGTGACAGAGATTTGTCCTGACTGTGGGCAAGGCAGGAAAACTCTAGCAACAAAGGTCCTAAATCCTAAAGCCAAGAGTGGGAGATACAGCTCTTATTTTTAAAAGAACAAGGCATAAAAAATGAAGGGAAGATGTTTCAGGAATGGTGAAATGGTGGCTTCTTTACCACCACTAGCAATTCAGAGATGCTTCATTAGGAGCCAGGATTCTCATTACTTACTGTAACCCTCACAATTACCCCACAAAATAAGAGTAATTTGATTCCTGTCTCCCTAGAAGAGAAAACTGACTCTGAGGCATTGTTAAGTTCCATGGTTCCCATGCAGAGGAGGACACACTGAGACTTGAGCCTGAGACTTAATGCTTCCATGTGTAGGGGCCATGGTCGATTTTCACTCAGTTGTAGAGCTTTCTTCTTAAATATGGCGTGTCCTACACTTCGGTTTCTTTCCTAAAGCACATAGTAATTAGTCTGCAAATACATAGTTGATTGATAGGGATGCAATGTAGTATAATACTTGTAGTAAATTTAAACACAAGATCAAAGGTAGTATTCAAAGAATAAATCATTAGCATCTGTCATGGCTAAGTGTCCAGGACTGTGATGGAACACCATGACAAAAAGCAAGGTAAAGTGGGGGAGGAGATGGTTTATTTCCCTTCCACTTCCAGGTAATCAATCACTGAGGGAAGTCAGGGCAGGGACTCAAACAGGGCAGCAACCTGGAGTCAGGGCAGGTGCAGAGGTCATGGAGGAGTGCTGCTTGCTGACTTGCTCTTTTCTTACTCAGCCTGCTTTCATAGAGAATCCACCAGCAGGGATGGCACCGCCCCAATGGGCTGGACCCTCCCACATCAATCACTAAATAAGAAAATGCTCTACAGGCTTGCCTACAGCACAGTCTTTTGGAAACATTTTCTCAACCAAGGTTCCCTCCTCTCAGATGACTCTAGCTTGTGTCAAAGTGACATAAAAGCTAGCTAGCCAGAACAGCACCCAAAATATGTCCTCCTCTGCACTTAAATAAGAGAAGCTTAAATTTGGTAGTTTGAGTTTTACATTGCCAGAAAGAAACTATTTGGCAAGATCCTCCCCCCACCCCAAAGTTGCATTGTTGCAATAATCTCTGCCATTCAGTCCTTACTTTTACTCAACACATGGGAGGGAAGTCTTCATCCCCCACAAACAGGAAAACCCAAATGAAGGAGGAGAAGATTAATAAACTTTAACAGGAAGAAAAGTACATGATGATTGGACAGTAAAGAACTTTGGTTTGTAACCTTGTCTCCAGACAGCCCCACTAATTAGATGTGGGCCAAGACCCAAGGATCTTTATGTGACATTTCTATGGACAACACGTTGAGGAAGGAGATATATGAACTGATAAAGAGAGAGCTCGTGTGATGAATTACATGCTGGAGAATGGGCTGGGGGTTCCAACAAAACATAAATGTTAAGTGTATTGCTGAAATGGGTTTAGCAGAACCAAGCCTTGTAGATGTCCCAAAGTTACATTTGCACGGATGTTAGGGCTTCTCTTATCATACACACTCTGTTGGTACTGACACCCAAATTCTAGGACACTTTCTTCTTCCTCCAATGTAGATATGTATGAGTCTGCTAAAAATTTGTTGTCATTGACACTATCTATTAGAGTCAATGACTTAAGAATCCTACCTGTCACTTAAGGGCATTTGGAGCTTTGTAAGTAGGCATTGGGTATCCTGGTATTGACAAAAGACCCCCTTTTAGTGCAGTGCTTAGTTTTTGCTTGGTGACTTTGGAATGCTGCAAATTGCACTGAGATTAAATTCTAAGAGGGCAGTTGAAGGTTAGTTGGGTGCTTAATGAAAAAGTTAGGGAGAGGCTGACAACTTAAACAGATACGCCCAGCCATTGAGCTCATTCCTAATCATTCCTGAAGTAGCTGTTTGTACATGTCAAGGCCTTTTTCTGTTAGATCCTCACTAATTGGCCTCTCTTTTTACAGTAATCTATGTTTTCACATGAGAGTATTTCTAGGTTTAGGTTGCAAAATTCAGATAGCTCTTCTCCTGAAGATTTAAGACAAGCTCATATTTCCAATTAACCTTAGTTGACCCCCTAAGAACTAAAGGAACCAAAGCATGCCATGAAAAAAATAGATCTTATTTTATCCTAATTATAATAATGGTACCATAGAAAGCATGATGGGATATACATTTTTAAGAAACTGTTCATTTTAGTTATACAGCTATGTCCATGTGCCTGAGCATATGCACTATATGAGTGAAATGCCTGCAGAAGCCAGAAGAGGGCATCACATATCCCATAGGTGCAATCTTAGCTATGAGCCATCAGATGTGGGTGCTGAGAAATGAACCCACATCCTCTGGAAGAGGTTAAATGTTCTTAACCTCTCAGCCATCTCTCTAAAAATCTTTGTTGTTGTTTAGGTGTTTGTTTCTTCTTTATTTTTTATTAAGAAAATTTTTTCATTCATTTTACACATCAGAGATCCACATCTCCCTTCCTCCTGCCCCCCAGCCTTCCCCTCCCAACCCATCCTCCACTTCCCCCTACAAGAAGGCAAGGCCTCCCATGGGGAGGCACATCTGGTAGAGGGAAGTCAGAGTTTTTTTGTTTTTTTAAAAATACCTTTAGTTTCAGTAAAGCTTACTAGAAGTTACTGTTGCTATAGGGTTAAAGTCAGTAAAGGCAGGGAATCAAGTGCAGTTTGAAGCTTTGTTCACATCAGCAGACATTCAGAGGCCTCTCAGTCTGATGCCAGCCTGCCAGTTCAGCACTCTACACACCAGTACTGTGCAGCCCTGGCCTCTATCATCCTGAGTACTTGACCTTTGACCTATTGAGTCCTACTTCCTAGTAGTCTTGCTTCTCTGAATCCCAGTTACTCTTGGAGGGATCTCTCTCAGGGAATCAACTGTGGGTTTTAGTTGATCCTTCATCCTCAGGCTAATCTCACTTACTACAGTCTGGGCTTTTCTCATCCCATTTACACCTTCTACATATTTCATATTTATTTAAATAATTATATTATTTCCTTTATCAAACTGTAAAAGATTATAAGCAGACATGGTGATTTTGTTTTCATGGTCTGTGATATCTAGCCTAGCACTTTGCAGTGAAGAGTTACATTGCATGTTCATTGAATGAACAAATAAAAGGGAGAAATTTTCTATCAGAAAGCCTTGCATTTACCAGGAAAGTTCTACGATAGGTTTAAATGCATCCCTTGCATCAGGCTGAGATCAATACTTCTATACAAAAAAGAAAATTGCATTTGAACTATTTAAAGGGATTTTTTTTCTTATCATGGCTTTTCCTATCAGTCTGTTTCCTTCAGGCAAGTTGCTTCACCATGAGGCTACATGTGGTAAACATGGGAGTCATTGTCACCATTGTCTGCTAACTGGGCACTAAGTTCAAACTCCCTTGCATTTGAGCACACGGGCTTCTCTCATCAACAGGAGGAGGTGAGTACTATTATTATCCACATTATTCAGATGAGGAAGTGACTTGCCCTGCCTGACACAGCAGTGAGCCACAGAATCATGAGTAGGCCAAGGTTAGCCAGCTTCTCTGCTTCCTAATGCCCTCACAGCACTAGCCAAAGGATGAGCACACAAGTAGGTTTTCACCAAGAGCTCCTCACCACCATGGTCAGTACAGTGTGCCAAAGAGGTCCATCAAAAATAAACAGCACCGTTCCAGTAGCTTTTACTGCAATCTGCTTACAATGTTGTTTTATTGACTGAAAATTCAGGATAGTGAGTGAGTGTGTGTGTGTGTGTGTGTGTGTGTGTGTGTGTGTGTGTGTGTGTAGGCATGTGTGCGCACATCTGGAGGCCAGAGGTCAGGGTTAGTTGGCTTCCTCAATCATTGTTCACCTTACTTTTTGAACCTGGAGCTCACTGATTCAGCTGGACTGCCTGGGCAGTGAGACCCAGGGGACCTGTATCTGCCTCCCTAGTGCTGCCGGGTTTATATATAGAAGCTTCCGTGCCTGGCTTAAACAGTGAGCACTTCACTGACTGGGCCATTTCCCAGCCCTCCCACACATTGTCTAATTGAAAAACTCAGCTGTACATCCTTCCTTCAGGGCTGGGTGGAGGATAGCCAGCCTGAGCACCAGGTGATGT